GCTGATCGATTCGCGGCATCTTAATTAACCCTGATCGGGCCGGGGGTCAAAGTGAGTCTGGCTGCTTCTTTTGATGCGGCGTTCACTGGCTCATCCTCCGCCACAGAGGAGTAGGTTGTTGAACTTTTGGCGAAAATAAGACGAACGAAGACAAATAACAATGTGATCCACGAATTTAACTGATTATTTTATTAAATATCAAAACGACCAGGAAGCATCGCGCGTTTCCGTGTATGATCTCCAGTGATCATCCGTTCGAAATTACATGATTACAGGATCGCGAAGTTTCATGAATAATTTATAATTTTAATATGATGAAAGAATAGGACCTTACATATATCACTGTGCCTTCGACAGTTCGTATGAAAGGCTCAGAAATCAAGTCCAGTGTAAGCCAAAATTGATACCCGAACGGAACAGTTTAATTACAACGTTGCAATGACGATATTACATTACAACGACAGAACTCCTTCATCAACTGAAAAAGATTTCGACAATACTTGCGTAGCAGGAACTATTTTTAACATCTCGACTCCATATAAATCCGCGCTCATTAAAAACGAAACATTGACAATTGCATCCTGCCGGATCGCACGACGAAGTTGTAGCTAAGCTGTTCCTAACAGGCTACTCGATTCTAATCACCTTACAGATAGGTTGGACGCGAGTCTCGAGTTAACTTGGCAGTTTTCTCGGTCAGTAACGCGGAGCTCATGTATCAAAGCGCGAAAAGTTTGCACCGCGTTCCGAACGAGTGTCAAAGTTTCGAGGGGGGGGGGGTGGAGTTGCGTTTCCGGATTGTCGCGATCCCATTACGCTACTAGAAGAGGAGGAAGAGAGCCTGCAGCTCTATGCAAAATCCGAGCTGTAAAGGGTGGTCTTTTCTTTCGGCAAGCAATTTCAGATAACGACGTTAGCTCTCGCATCTCGCCAAGCAAATGAAGTCTTACCGCCGAGGACGACGAGATTATCGAACGAAACCACCGGAATATCAAGTAAGAAGCAACAATCAAGCTCATCCCCTGGAAGATCTTTCGCAGAAACGTCCCTGTCCTTCGGCAGGGAACGCTGATTCCTGAGAAATCTTCCTTCCCTTTGACCCGTCCATTTGAAATATTCCAAGAGGCGAGGAAAAGTATCGTTCAAGGCGAACTTCTCTTACAAAGTACATCATTGCGCATGATAATTTCCGAAAATTAACACTAGAACTACCAGAAACGATCGAAATGACCAATCTGTGAGTTTTGCTGGGTAATCCACAGACGTAAAACGGTGTATCTTTCGAGGTTTAAATGAT